ATCTTTAAACCCGATTMTTTTTCTTTGGCTCCAGATTAGTTTCATGCCTCTAAATAAAATTTAATCTGTCACTGTAATTTAAATAAATGCCTAGAAAGAAATATTGTGCCGCTGATAGCTTATTATAATTTCCTGTAGGCTTGTTTGCTGTGTACAAGTATCGATTTTGCCACTTTGACAAGCATGATTTGTTACTAAGCCTCATCAGACACAACAGAGGAAATCAAGTGTGTTTAGCGTCTCTATTTCTCCTTCTTTGAATTGTTTATACTTTTACGCTGAACTTGTAAAACCTACAAGTAATAGATGCACATTTTCCAGGAACTGATGGGTATTAAATGACATATCTTGAGAGAAGGGAAAAGACCTGTGGAAATGTATCTTCTTGTTTGTTGACTCAACAGTAACTTAAGGTTCTGATCCTGCTCCATGTTAGTTTTTTTTTAATAACTTTTTTATAGTTGTATTTTACTCATTTATTTTTTATGTGGTACTAAGGATTGAACCCAGGGCCTCACGTGTGCCAGGCAAGTGCTCTACCAGTGAGCCACAACCCCAGGGAGTATTCAGAACTTTTGTGGGGTTTCGTGTGTGTGTGTGTGTGTGTGTGTGTGTGTGTGTGTGTGTGTTGGGGATTAAACCCAGGGGTGCTGAACCACTGAGCCATATCCCCAGCCTCTTTTTTTTTTTTTTGAGACAGGGTCTCACTGAGTTGCTGAGGCTGCCTTTGAACTTCCGATCTCTTGCCTCAGCCTCCCAAGTTGCTGAGATGACAGGCGTGCTCAGCTGTGGCTTGATCTGWTCTTTTCCATGTAGATCATTAGACAGCCTGAGCAACGGTTTATGTGTGACATGTATCAAATGAAGGAAAAGATGCATGCTTAGAAAACACCCTGGTGGGGGCTGYGGCTGTGGCTCAGTGGTAGAGCACTTGCCTAGCAGGTGCGAGGCTCTGGGTTCGATCCTCAGCACCCCATACAAATAACATAAAGGTATTGTSTCCAACYWCAACRAATRCCTTTTTAGTTCCTGTATTTTTTAATCGGAACATTTAGGAAGAAACGTGCAGTCCTCTGCCTGCCCTACAAAGAAGTCACCCGTGTGTTCCTTGTTCTTTTTCCTCCATCTTTCCTTCGATTGGCACGTGTGTGACTGTTCTGGGAGGTACCCAAGGGGTCTCCTTTTCCCTTTTTATACTTGGGGATCATGAGCCGCATCTTTACTCACAAGGAYGTTTCTCCTTGAGGAGCGCCCATTCAGGTTCTTGAGCCCCTACCGGAAGGAGGCTGTTGGGCACTAAATCGTGGAACTTGGGCTTCCAAGTATATTCAACTTTTCCTTCTCGGTTTAAATTGAATGTGGTCTTAGAATTGGGGCCTAAAGGCCTTGCTTCCCCTGATGAGTGTTTTTTCCCTTCCTGACAGTCTGTACAYTGGTACCATTGCCATAGGGTAGCCGCCGGCCACAGGAGAGCGTTTCAACTTAGTTAAATTTACATACGATCAAACCGGTGCTCATCCCCAGTACTGGCTATGTGAGTGGTGTTCAGTAGCTGCGTGTGGCTAGTGGGTTCCTCAGTAGACGGGGAACATGGGGCAATAAGTTGAACTGCACAGAGCAGCTGTGGACAGTCGGACATTAGCCTCATAGGGACTCRGGGAAGAGCAAGACAAATTCTTCAATCTGAAGGGGAGAGAAGTTTTCATAGCAAGTAACTAGAGCAAAAATGAACCCTGTCGGTTGGGTTGGTGGTGCACGCCTGTAATCCTATTTACCTGGGAGACTGTATTAAAACAGTAGGGATAAAGGCGGTATTGAAGCACTTTCCTAGGATTTTAAAGTTATATATGTAAAAGATGAGTGACATCAGATTTTTTTAACAGCAATAGTGGAAGTTAGAAAACAGACATACTATACAATTGTTTGAAAATAATTTGCACCCAGAATTTTGAAGTTTCTCCCCTCCAAATGTATGGAGGATGGACTAAAGATGTTTGTACACATTCATTACGTCAGCCACATTTCACTTTGTCCACTTCTAGAGAAGTGAGATGTCAACCTGTCCCACCAAGGTGAGACGGTCACCAAGGAAGGGGACATGGTGGGACTCTGAGTGTCCAGATAGACGACAAAGAGAAGGAACTCTCGAGGCCTTGGTGGATTCAGGTTGCAGCAGGCCTGACACTGACTAGCACAGACTGGACCCAAGAAAATGGAAGAGGACGTTCTGGTACGTGTGTTGTGAAGGTGGTAGCACATGGAACGGACGGACGATCGAAATGTTCTGGTTTTTAACTTTTTCAAGTTGGACATGGATACACTGCCTTAATTTTTATGTGGTGAGGATTGAACCCAGTGCCTCAGGTGGGCCAGGCAGGTCCTCCACCACTAAGCCACAACCCCACCCAGCATAATATCTGAGCATTTTAATCGTGTGGAAAATTGAATGGAAAGAATGTTGCCAGATCTTGGAAGAATTTTGTCAAAGGGAACAAAGAAAAAAGAAGAAAATAAAAACCAAGGCAATTAGGGATTCCAGGAAAATGCGAAAGTTGAATAAGAAATGAATCTTAACGCTGCTATATTGCTTGCTCAGCATTACCCACTCCATCATCGAAATCATGTGCAGAGTATAGATGTAACAGAAAACAAGTTATAAAAAGTGATGGGGAAAATGTGAAAGGGTAGGCACAGCATTGATGGTTGGCATTTAAGGAAACAAATCTGCATTTATGAGAAAATCGGAAAGTTGCATTGAAATGGGGTTTAGTGAAGAAGTATTATAAGCAGATGATTTAGAAACGTGGAAGTCGATACCAAGGAACACGAACATTAACAAAAATAGTTCCAAGGCATTAAAGTGATTGCTCTTGGAAATGGAATTGTAGATCAACGGTGCAAAAAGGCTCGCAATTTTGGAAAAGGAGTCTTTTGACTCGCTTGGCTTTTAGTTTTAAAAGCTGAAGATGGGTTACTTTGAAAAGAATAAAAATGGTGAGGGTATTACCCTCTGTAAAAATTAGTTTAATGTAAAGTGGGGATTCTCAAATGGGGCGGCATTGACAGTCAATTCTGTGTTAAGGGGGCCCACCCTGTGTGTGTGTGTGTGTGTGCAAGGGTGTTGGCTAGCATTCCTCTCTGGTCCTGACAGCTAAACAGGTGTGCAGACATTGCCCAGTGCTCCGGGGGCAACCTCACTGCTTCTTGAAGTACTGATTTAAAGGATTTAAAAACCTGTTATTGAATGAACCATCTCAATATATTAAAAAAAAATGCTGTCTTTTGTTGGTAAAACAGGAAGCAGCAGCTGCTTCATGACCCAGAACTTGAACCCATAGCAAGRACCCTCTGGCACCCCAGCACCCCAGCTGCTCATGCCAGCCCATCTTGGCGTCTGGCTTCAGGCCCAGTGAGTGCAGGGCTCACTAAAATGAGAAAAGGATTCGGGAGGAAATGGCAGCTTCCCTTTCATGCCTTAGTGGCTTCTGAAAACATGTTTCGGATTTTTCACATTGTTTTCGTGTTGGTACAACTTGGATTTCTCTGGAGTCGCAGTGTTCATCATTGTGGCGAGTCTGGTACAACGTTGCGCCCTTTGGGTATGTTCCAGCGCTCGGTCGGCTGTGAGACGGACGGACGCACGCCCTCCCCGTCTCTGCACTTCTTCCCCGAGTCCTTAGATAAGTTCTCTGCGAGTGTTTCCCCCTAGAATTGCCAGAGGACGTCGATAGGAAAATGGTCCCGCAGATTTTTCTGATGTGGCGGAAACCTCATAAATATTTTAATGCCCTTATTTCACAGCCGAGGAAACTCGAGTCCGGAGAGTCTCTCCTCATTAATTAGGAGGAAGATGGGGGTGGGCTCGCCTCCCCAGCACCACAAAAGGAAGAGGGGCGCCTGCAGAGAGTCCCTTCTTCCCCTTTTCCCTTCCCTTTCAGAAGGCAGAGGGAAGCATGGTCAAGGTGGCTTCGTGGGCAGTGAAGTGCCCGGGCGAGTGGGCTGTCGGGATTTGCACACAGCATCGTGGGCGCCCCCTGCCAGGGGCCCACAGCCCTGGAGTCGCTCAGAGCAAACACCTGGAGAGCAGGAAGGGCAGTTGGGTGTCTCCGTGAGGGGCCCCTGTGCCGCGGTTCCTGGTGTCCAGAGCTGGGAAGATGCCGGAGAAAGTCCTACAGAAAGGGCTCCCCACTGTTGTCCCCAGTCCTCATGCCACGATCCTTCTTAGCAAGGACTTGTGCATGGCACCTGCAGCCTTGCCCCCTGTTCAATGATCCCTTCTCAGAGGCAAAGTCCCCCTCCTCCTGCTCAGGGTCTGTTCCTTGTCCCAGACTCAYGGTTCATTGTTTCTCATCTGAGATGGCCTTGTGCGTTTGTTCATAGCGAATTGTCCCTGTTCCTTTCTTGCCAAGTTCCACAGCCTTCCCCTCTTCCCCAGGGCTCAACGTGGAGCTCCTGTCGGTGAAAGATTTGACTTGCCTTCTGAAACACCTGTGTGTTCGCTCAGCGAGCTTTAGCATCGCAGGGAAGACGACGTTGTCTAGTTGTTGGAGTCGAGTGGGGTTTTGGGTCCTGACATTCCCTGGCGATGTGCTGAGCATCGTGACGCTTTTTTTGAGCAGTTTGTGTGAACAGCCTCGCAGCATGCTTTCAACAGAGGCTTGAGCCTTAAATCCACCAGTGAGGGAGGCCCACCACCTAACAGTTATTATTAATACAGCCTCCTAGTGCCACAGTACTGCAGCTGGGTCAACGACATCGGGGTGAATGCGTCCCTAGCTGTCTTACTGGGGCGTCRCAGAATGTACAAACTAAGATGGTCACATCATCCCAGGGGATGAAATCTCACGGGACCCCCATCTTATGTGGGGTCTACCCTTGACTGGGGGGACACTGTACGTGCTCACTCAGACGTCTGCTTGGTGAAGGAGCGGGTGGGTGAGACTGTCTCAGGATGTGTTGGCTTACGCTTTGGACTGACTTGGAGTCTTGTTCATTCACAGGTAATACAAGATAGAAGAGAGGTCTCCACATAAGCCCTGGAAAGAAGAAAGGATTGGCCTGCATTTCCTTCTGAGTAAGTGGAATTGTGAAAGATTTTATTATGGAACGAACAAGCCAAGCTCTCTGTATTTTCTACGCTTAAAGCCACGYGGTCATGTTTGTTTTCTTTTATGTGCTGGAAATGGGAATTTGAGATTCTTTGCAATAGGTGATTTTGCTGGGGGGAAAAACGTGAAGCTCTCTGTCAGCGCTTCAAACTCCTTTTTTCTTCTTGCAGTGCTGGGGATGGAACTCGGGCAAGCGCCTTACTGCTGGCCTGCAYGCATCCCCAGCCCTACTGACTCTATTTAAAACATCTAGCTTCTGGAATTCAGGTTTCCATGAAGTTTAGAAAAGAAAAACGGAGAGRGTCATCAAAATGTGTGTGCCTTGGAGTGACGCATAGCTTCTGATCTTYCCCCCCATTGACGGGTGAGGTATTTGTCTTTGCTCTGGAGTTTGGTTTCKATAAACAAATCGAAGGCTTTTGGCTTTTATGTGGTGGAAGCTCCTCTTACATGTCCCTCTCGATGTATTTGGAAATGACAGGCAGCTGTGACACTCTGTGGGCAGGACATAGTTTTCCATGGAAGCCTTGCTTGGCCCGTCCTGAGCTGGCGTGGACCGTGCGTGGACCCCCGGGAGGCCTGTTCCTTCCGTCTTGGGTCTGTTGGTCTTCAGTGTGGACAGACCCCGACTCCTGTAGAATGAGACCTTCTGATCTGCTCTTACCTGCTGTAGGTTCACCGTGGGGACCATCGAGACCACCTTTTGCAGACCACCTTTTATATGCGGTGTGCCGGGAGGTTCACTGAGGTGCCGCCCATCGTGAGTGCAGGGACACTTGCAAARCTCTGTGCTAGACATGGTTCTAATTTGGTAGCAGCTTTATGGAGATGGGATTCACACAGCAGACGATTCACCCCTTTGAGTGTTGAGTGCTGTTGGTTTTTTACATCCAGTACTGGGACCAGAGCCCAGGGTCCTGTATGTGACAGACTGGCCACTGAGCTGCAGCCCCAGCCCCTGTTCAGTGTTTTTAGACATTGGGTTCTGCGGCTGTCGCCTTCCTCAACTTGGGAGCATTTCGCCATTCCCAGAAGAACCTCGTAGCCATTAGCAGTCGCTCCCCCTTCCCGCCCTGTAGCTGCCACTAATCCGCCTTCTCTCCACGTGCGTGGCCTCTCCTGGGTACTTTAAATAATGGGAGCCTGTGCCCAGTGGCCTTCTGTCTGCTGTCTTCCACTTAGCATGTGGGTGTCGTATGTCAGTACTTTGTCCCTTTGAGCAGCCAAAGGCTGAGCCGTGATATGCATAGATCACATTTTGTTTACTCGTTCATCCATCAGACACTGTTATTTTTAGAGGCTTCTATCATTTCTCCCCTCGGTGGTGCAGGGGATTGAACCTGGCCTTGTGCATGCTAGGCAAGCCTTCTACCACTGAGCTCTATCTTTTTTTTGAGGGGGATGAGAGGATCCTAGGGATTGAACCCAGTGACGATGAACTATATCCCTGGCCCTTTTTATTTTTTTGAGACGGGGGCTTACTAACTTGCTTAGGGCTCACTAAGTTGCTGCGGCTGACCTTGAACTTGCAATCTTCCTGCCTTCGTCTCCCTTACGTTTTACCTTTTTAAAATTGCATTTTGAGACTGGGTCTGGCTATGCTGCCCAAGCTGGCCTTAAACTTGGGTCCTCTTGCCTCAGCCTGGTGACTAGCTGGCATTGCAGGGGTGTGCCACCCACCTGGCTTGAAGGCTTCTGTTCTGAAACCATGACAGACTCGCAAGTAGTTGCAGAGCTCAGCAAGTTCCAGTGTCCCGCCACTGCCCCCACCACAGTGACYGTGTCTCTCAACAGAACTGTGCCGAGTTGACCCAAGTAGGACATGGGCACTGGCAAGGTGCTTTTGGTGTGAATGCATGCCCTGTCTGGTGACGGGAGCTCCGCCTGTGTGGCTGGGTGAAATGTGATCCCAGGTGTGTGCAGAGTGTTGCTGCTACCATAGTCCAGGGGCAGGATTTGTCCACCTTGGGCTCTGCCTCTCCATCTCGGTCATTTCTTCATTTCATGTGTTATCTGAATAGAATCCTGCAGTATGCAGCTTTTGTTGACTGACTGTGCAGCCGGATGCCCTGGAGATCATCCCTACTTTTCCTGTCCCTCCAGAGCTCATTCTTCCCTAATGCAGAGAGGGATTCTGGGGTGTGGATGAGCCACCGTGCACTGATGCCTTGGCTTGCTGAAGGGCGTTTCCTGCTCCGGGCTGTTCCAGGTCATCCCTTGGGCCTGCTTTCCCCTTGGATGGAGAGAAGGCAGTCACGTTAAGGAGGCAGCTTAGAGACGCTGCGCCCTGGGACGCTAGAAGCCTTGAGGTCCACGCCATACGGTAGGACTCGGGCCCAGGGATCTATCAGGTAGCTGTCACTTTCTTTGCTGTGACAGCCAGCTGGCTGCCCTCACCAGGGGCCAGCTGTCCACTCCTGCTGTGTCCAGGAAGTGCCACTAGAGGACCCGGCTTTTCTGTTTGGGGTTTAGCTCCTTGGGAAGCACTGGAAGCACCTGAAGGTCCACGTATATCGGCGTCACCGATGCTATCAATGGTAGGACGGAGGATGGAGATTGCCGGTGGACTTGGAGTGGACCCTCGGAAACCAGAGCAACTTGGAGCCCAGCAGCTGTTCGTTCCCATATGCTTAGTTCAGCTGTGCCCTCTGGAACGTCTGGGAAGTTGGCAAAGTGTCCAACTGTGCAAGGGTGTGGTGGAGCCCCACTTCCAAGTGGGTCCAGCCCACTGAAGTGTGGGCGTCCAGTTGGGGTGGGGTGCGTGCGTGCTCCGTGTCCCCCTTGGCTCTCTTCCCACTCCCTGTTCCCTGTGACCCGTCTGGATGCGATGGGAGGAGCTCACTGGAGTCTCTTAAGAGCCCCAGATAGAAGATGCATTGCTTTGCAGCTGTGTTTGTGTGGCCTGGTGTATGTGTGTGGCTGTGATAAATACTCGAGAGTAACCAGTGGAGATGCAAGAAGATTTATTTTGGCTCGCCATTTGACAAGTTTACTCCGTGGTCAGCTGGCTCCACTGCTTTAGACCTGAGGTGAGGCAGAACATCATGGCGGAAGGAAGTGACAGAGAAGGCTGCTCAGCTCATGTCAGTGAGTAGGAGAGAGGGACAAGATAGAGTCCCCAWGGGTACATGCCCAGAATCCACTTCTTTTAACTAGGACCCACCTCCTAAGTTCCACCACGTCCCAGTGATGTGACGCCATCAAATTGTGAATTCATCAGTGGATTAATCCACTTAGGATCTAAGCACTTCCCAAAGGCTCCAGCYCTAATCGTGGCCGAGTTGGGGACCCAGGCTTCCATGCCTGAGCCTCTGTGGGACATTCCACATGCAAACTGGAACCCTGGGATTAGTAACAGAAATGGGTGGTCAAACCAGTTCCTTTTTCATAAAATSTAAGAAGGGCACAGATGACCCCCTTGTCTTTGCGAGGGGCCTTGACTCTGGAGAAGTGTTTCCCACGGAGGCTCCCTCTAAAATGAACTGGAGCTGCAAGTTGTGGGGAGGACAGCAGTCTCTGTGCACCCCRTGGTCACCCAGCCTGGGCATGGGGGTGTTGCATACCAGATTGGTGAAGGGGTTGCTTGGGAAGTGCAGGRCCTCTGTACCGTGTAGGTGGATGGGGGTTGTTGCTGATCCATTTTATGGAAACCTATAAGGTTTCCCAGGCACCCTCTGGGCCCCAGCTTGTTGATTCGGAGGTGTGAATTCACAGATAAGCCAGTGGAACAATGAAGGGCCCTTTGTGGTCCCCAGCTGATAAAGTGCTGTTGGACAAAACCCTTCCTTTGTTTTTTTCCTCCTCCCAACCTGGGGTTCCGATTGACTGGGTATTCTTTTCCTTCAAAAAACACTAGTCTTCCTGGGTTGCAGGTGGGCTGCCTGACCTGGAGACCCTCCTTCTCCATACAAGCCGCCGCCTCCCTTCCAAACTTGGGAATGCAGCGTGTACCCACTTCCCAGGGAGCTGCACCCACTTCCCAGGGAGCTGCACCCACTTCCCAGGGAGCTGCACCCACTTCCCAGGGAGCTGCACCCACTTCCCAGGGAGCTGCACCCACTTCCCAGGGAGCTGCACCCACTTCCCAGGGAGCTGCACCCACTTCCCAGGGAGCTGCACCCACTTCCCAGGGAGCTGCACCGTGCTTGAATTGGCATCAAGCGGACATAAATCTGTGGTCAGGATGGCATCCTTGAAAAGGACTCAGAAGAGATTCTGATTGTCAACTGGCCTTGAAGGGCCCGAAAATGACCGACTCTTCCGTGCCTGACCTTTTCCACTAGTTCTGGCTCTTAGCCCAAAACCAAGAATCTTGTTGTTCTTTGTGTTTCCTTTCATTTTTCTCTGTAAACATGAGCAGTTCCCACTAGCCCTTTTTTGGTAAGGGGGTGTACTGGGAATTGAACCCAGAGGCACTTTACCACAGAGCTACAGCGCCAGCCTTCTTTATGTATTTTTTATTTTTATTTTTTAGTTTTTTTCTTAATGTTTTGTTTTTTATGTGATGCTGGGGATTGAACCCAGTGCCTCGCCAATGCTAGGCGAGCACTCTACCACTGAGCCCCAGCCCCATTTATTTTTTGAGACGGGGTCTCACGAAGTTGCTTAGGGCTTCGCTAAGTGGCTGAGGCTGGCCTTGAACTTACAATCCTCCTGCCTCCGTCTCCTGAGCTGCTGAGATAACGGGCATAGCTCTCTTCAAGTGCAGGACAGTGGCTCTCAACGGTGGGCCATTTCTCTCCCTTAGGGAATGTCCGGAAATGTCTGGAGACATTTTTGACGTCACAGCCGGGGTGTGACACGGGGGTGTTTGACACTGGTGTGGAGAGGGTGGAGACCAGGGATGCTCTCCAACTCTCTGTACTCACCCCAGAGTCCCCACCACAGACTCGCCCAGGCCGCAGTGGCATTGGAGTTGGTTGGTGGGGGCGTAGCATAGGCCCAGCGTGTCCTCCTATCGTCTTGC